AGAAAATATCAGAATCGTGATTGATTTTTCAATCGGATCAGAATCCTTATTTCCAATTGACAACCCTCTCTAAGCGATCGCTTAGCATTTGATCAAAGACAATGCTTCTACTCATACAATCGCAGAGTATCAGCTCGCTTGATTTAAGGTCATAGGGTTAATCAACCTAATCATCAAATCTGATGATTAATCCCTTTCCATAATCGCAATCGCGAACCTCAGATTGAATATCCACGATCGCACGATATCAATCTGAGTTGGGAAGGGAAACAAAACTGATTTGAAATAAACGCAGATCCTCAAGACCAATCCATGGAATCCATTACCCTTAGGTTGATTAAAAGGTTCTTAGCCTCGTATGGCTAAGGTAAACATAATTGAAATAAAAAGAAGAAGAAGAAAAAAGATGAAGAACGCAATTGAATAAAAACTCAGAGAGAACTTCTCTGTTGTAAAAACTGACTACCAAGGGTTTCCTAGAGTCCCCTTTAAATAGCCGTCACGCAGGACGGCTAGGGTTTCATCGCTTCAGCCCAAACATAAAATAAAAAACCGAATAAAATAAAATGAAACAATAAAACTTGGCTTTGGGCCACTTAAGTAATTGGGTTTTAATTTAAATTACAAGCCCAATAGTCAAACAAAACTTCAGCAAAACGCGTCCAACTTGGTGTCCAAAATCGACCAGCTTCTAGTCCGAATTGGGCTTAGAGCTCTGCATAAGAATTGTAGCTCTCTGTGTTATCTGAAAAACCCAATAAGAACGGAGTCAATCCGACAACTATGGACCGAGATATGGCCAAAATACAGAAGTAACGTAAAGCTGAAAAATTCTGACGAAAATAAATTAAACCCAATTAAAAACTAAAAACCTAAATTAACTCTAACAATCATTATTTTATTCAAATAAATCCTAAAAATACTAATCAAGAGTAACAAATAAGTGTAACAAAATATGTGTTATCAAATTCCCCCACACTTATCTTTTTGCACTCCTGGGCAAAAACTAAAATTGAAAGTAAAATACTAAGATCAACCAATCCTTTCTAACAATTACCAAGCATACAGAAAATATACAAAGATCACAAGTCTTCTACAGATAAATCAATCAGGACAGAAATTCCCTAATCTCAAATCACAAGACCTGCTAACTTCAACTGCAACTGCTAACTGCATAAAAATGGTTCCTCACAAGATGCTCTCAATTTTTCTCTCAAGTGTATCAGTTAATTCAGTATATCACTCAAATCAACTCAAGAAAATCATCCTACCATAGGCTTGCTCAAGTTCTACTTCTCCACTGCTCATAACACATGCATGCACAAATCAAGAGGGCTTTATGCAGGGTTGTAATGGGGCTGAGGTAAAGGTATGGATGAATATGGAAGAGAAAGCTAAACACCCCAGAATTTTACAAAGAGCAAAAGTTAAGAACTAAACTAAGAACATAAAACAAAGATACTGAAAAGATAAACACTTTTTTTTTCTTTTTTTTTTTTTTTTTTTTTTTTTTTTTTCTTTTTTTTTTTTTTTTTTTTTTTTTTTTTTTTTTTTTTTTTTTTTTTTGTTTTTGTTTTGAAGAAGTAAAACCACATAGAAGAAATGAATCAGATGGTCACCCCCCACACTTAAACTTTTGTCCGTCTCGGGCAAACCCCCACACTTAAACACAACATCACAATGAAACCAATGCTCAGTAAAACTCCAGGGTGTGGAATTAATTGGTTTTTCACTTAGGCTTGTAATGCGGCTTAAGAAATAAAAGATATAAAGGCTCAAAGGGGCTCACCAAGGGATAATAATATAAGGGACGACTATCTGGCTAAAGTGGGTACAGAAAAGAAAGAATGCCTCAATCATGTTCATGCATGCAAGTGAAAAATACAGTTTCAAAAAGAACAAGAGCAAGTTCTAGAGGACAACAATCAAGAGCAGAAACACACAAGAAAGAAAGCATGGCCAGAAGATATGCCATGTATGCAGGCTCAAAACCTCACAAGGGTAAACCAAGTCATGCAATCAACAGCACAAAATCAATCAATAGGTAGTTGTAATCCAAGAATCGAGATCAAAGCCCAACAGATTTATGCTATCAAACACTGTGATCTATGTCTACTCTATGTACCACTCAATAATTACCAGAAAGAAAAGGAAAATCTACCTATGAAAAAATCATAAACTAAAAGAAAGAAAGGAAAAGAAAAATAAAAATGCAAATAACAGAAAGAAAAGAAAAAGTCAAAAACTAAAAGAAAGAAAGGAAAAGAAAAATAAAAATGCAAATAACAGAAAGAAAAGAAAAAGAGGGAAGAGAACTCCCTGAACTCCCTAAGGAGAATAAACAGCATCAAACAGCCTGATTTCTGCCTCACTGGTTTAACACCTTCAAGTAAAATGCGGTGCATGCACATGGAAGGGCTGATTCCCACATTATCTGCTAAAGTCCATCCAATTGCCTTTTTATTTTCTTTCAGCAATGTCAGAAGCTTTACCTCCTGCTCAGGTAGAAGGTTCTTGGCCACTATCACAGGTAACTGCTCATTTTCCTCAAGAAATGCATATTTCAAGTGGTCGGGCAGAACCTTCAACTCCAATTTCGGAGGCTGCTCACTGGATGGAAGAGGTGTAGTTGGTGGTGCAAATTCTGCAGAAAACAAGTCAGCAGCAATGCCTGTAAACAAATTCTCAGAAACAGAATTAGGATCATCAATAATATCAGCAGGCAATTCAGAAAGTGCAGATTCACACTCAGAATCAGATTCATCAATAAGTGCATCGTTAAAACCAGAAAATGTGATGCTATTTCAGCACACACAATGCACTCTTGACTATCACTACAATCACAGAAATCAGAACCATGAATAGATGAAAAATCAGTAAGGAATTCAGGAGAAAAATCCTCAACAACTTCATCTATCACATCAATGCAGAAAACAAGATGATCAGATGTATCAGTGCTCTGCTTCTTGGAGCTAGTGTCACTTCCCTTAGATGACTCAGCAGCAGTGTGGTTTGGCTCCTCCATATGCTTGCCAGACCGCAGAGTAATAGCACTCACATTTCCGCTTCCTTTTGGATTTGGAACTGTTTGGGATGGAAGGGAGCTGCCACTTGCTTGTTGATTTTGACTCATTGACGTTGCAAGCTGGCCAATCTGTGTTTGCAGATTCTGGAGGGAATACTCAGTAATCTGCTGGAACTGCAGATTGATAGTTGCCATCTGCTTCACTAAATCCTCCAAAGAAGGACCATCGCTACTGGCTTGCTGCTGCATTGGCTGTGGAGGTGCAAATTGTTGAAAATTTTGCCTCTGTTGAGAAGGTGCAAACTGCTGCCTCTGTTGGAATGGTGCACTTTGCTGGTTCTGATTCCAATTGAGATTTGGATGATTTTTCCAGCCATGATTATATGCATTAGAGAAAGGATTGTTTTGCTGCTGCTGCTGCATCTGCTGGTATTGTGGCTTTGCAGGAAAAACTGCAGCAACAGACTGATCAACTTGGAAACCGCTGTCAATTTTCAGAGCGATCAGAGCAAGTTGAACAAGTTCAGAAATACCCGATACATCCTGGAACCAATCGCTCAAACTGAAGTTTTACCGATTTCCCCAAATTTTTTTTTTTATTGGTTTTTTTTTTTTTTTTTTTGCTTTATTTTACAAAAACGAAAATTAAAGAAAAAGAATATGGAGATGAAAAAGAAAATGATCAAGAATCAGAAAACGATTTAGACCGATGCAATTTCCCCGGCAACGGCGCCAAATTTGACACGAGCTGTCGAACTCGCGCAAATTAAAAATTAATTCTTTAGTTAGGGTTCAGAAAATTTGCAGTAAAGTGGAAATCCTAAGTCGTCTCTCAAGGAAATTGTTTTGGTTAAAATCGCTTATGAGAACAGAAAATTAAAAAGGGGGGTTTTGGATTTTGATTCAATAATTAAAAAGGCAGAATATAAATTTGGAATAAAAATTCGTAATTAAAAATAACCAACCTAAGGTTTGGGTTCCATGGACGTCTTTCCTCGGATAAGAAGATATCAGAATCGTGATTGATTTGTCAATCAGATCAGAATCCTTATTTCCAATTGACAACCCTCTCTAAGCGATCGCTTAGCATTTGATCAAAGACGATGTTTCTACTCATACAATCGCAGAGTATCAGCCCGCTTGATTTAAGGTCATAGGGTCAATCAACCTAATCATCAAATCTGATGATTAATCCCTTTCCATAATCGCAATCGCGAACCTCAGATTGAATATCCACGATCGCACGATATCAATCTGAGTTGGGAAGGGAAACAAAACTGATTTGAAATAAACGCAGATCCTCAAGACCAATCCATGGAATCCATTACCCTTAGGTTGATTAAAAGGTTCTTAGCCTCGCATGGCTAAGGTAAACATAATTGAAATAAAAAGAAGAAGAAGAAAAAAGATGAAGAACGCAATTGAATAAAAACTCATAGAGAACTTCTCTGTTGTAAAAACTGACTACCAAGGGTTTCCTAGAGTCCCCTTTAAATAGCCGTCACGCAGGACGGCTAGGGTTTCATCGCTCCAGCCCAAACATAAAATAAAAAACCGAATAAAATAAAATGAAACAATAAAACTTGGCTTTGGGCCACTTAAGTAATTGGGTTTTAATTTAAATTACAAGCCCAATAGTCAAACAAAACTTCAACAAAACGCGTCCAACTTGGTGTCCGAAATCGACCAGCTTCTAGTCCGAATTGGGCTTAGAGCTATGCATAAGAATTGTAGCTCTCTGTGTTATCTGAAAAACCCAACAAGAACGGAGTCAATCCGACAACTATGGACCGAGATATGGCCAAAATACAGAAGTAACGTAAAGCTGAAAAATTCTGACGAAAATAAATTAAACCCAATTAAAAACTAAAAACCTAAATTAACTCTAACAATCATTATTTTATTCAAATAAATCCTAAAAATACTAATCAAGAGTAACAAATAAGTGTAACAAAATATGTGTTATCAGTCACCAATGGGTTCTGATGATCGAGGATCTCTGCGTTTTATGAAGATGGAGATCCCTTCCTTTGAGGGTCAAGACCCTAACAATTGGATCTTCAAATCCGAATTGTTTTTTCGTCTCCAACAGACTCCGGATCATCTCAAGGTTCAGATCGCAGGGTTGAAGATGAACAGCGCCGCCGGAGATTGGTTTCAATGGATCTTTAATAGCGGTACTGTACAGACATGGGAGGAGTTCACTACGACTGTGCGACAACGCTTTGGTTCGTCACATTACAGAGATGTCCGAGGAGTTCTTGCCAAATTGACCCAAAATGGTTCCTTGGCAGATTATATGCGTGAATTTCAACGATTGCTGAATCAGGTACATGATCTCAGTGATAATCTTTTAATGGTTCTTTTCATTTCGGGATTGCAACCTGATCTCCAGGGAGCAATTCAGTTGCATTGGCCCACTAGTTTGCATCAAGCTATGCAATTAGCATTAGCTTATGATACCCATCATTCTGATCTTCGTTCATCGTTCACAAATCATACAAATCATACCAAGAAACCATTTCATCGTCCCCACTCACCAATTAAAATTGACAAACCTACTCCTTTAGCTATTCAATCATCCCACACACTTGCTTTACCAGCACCACCTACAGTACCTGTTCGAAAGCTGTCCCCTGAGGAAATTCGACAGAAAAGAGAACTGGGTATATGCTTCACATGTGATGAAAAGTGGACGGCTAAACATCGATGCAAGGCCAAGATGATGCTTCTTATAGGTGAAGTAGAAGATTCGGGTGAAGAGCAAGAAGAAGAGATAGTTTGGGGTTTAGAAGAAACCAAGGGAACTAGAATTGATGCAACCTTGCATTCTCTGTCAGGGAGTAATAATCCGAGATCAATACAGTTGAAGGCCAGTATTGCGAATCAAGTAGTTAATGTGTTAGTAGACTCTGGAAGCTCTTATAACTTCATTAGAAGAAAGCTTGCTGAGGAACTTCAACTGCCTATGACCAAGTCTTCCAAGATGAGAGTCTTTATGGGAAGTGGAGAATTTCTTCTTTGTGACAGAAAGTGTCCTAATGTCAAACTCCAAATTCAAGGCCATGGATTCATCACTAACCTGTGGGTTATTGAGTTGAGTGACCTGAATGTAATTCTAGGAATGCATTGGTTAACTCAGCTAGGCAAGGTCACACATGACTACAATAATTTGTCTATGGTATTCATATGGCAGGGCATACCAATCAAATTGAGTGGCTGTCAACAACAAGGAGAAGAGTCATTAACAGCAAGGATGCAAGGTGATTGTCATACTCTATCACTGCAACCGATTGAGGAGGCTCAAGCAAAGGAGATAGCCTATCTGGGCCATGTAGTGACTGTTTCTGGTGTGAAGGCTGATCCAAGGAAGCTATCTGCAATAACAGACTGGCCTATACCTCATTCCATCAAGCAACTAAGGGCTTTTCTTGGTTTAACAGGATATTATAGGAGGTTTGTACAACATTATGCTTCAATAGCCCATTCACTAACTGAACTGTTGAAACAGGACAAATTTTCATGGACTCCTGAAGCTGATGTATCCTTCCAAAAGTTGAAAGTGGCCATGTCCACCACACCTGTTTTAAATCTTCCAGATTTTAGTTCTTCTTTTGTCATTGAGTCGGATGCATCAAATTCTGGAGTAGGGGCTGTTTTGTTACAAAAGGGAAAGCCTATTTCATTTTTTAGTAAGAAATTGGGGGTGAAAATAGCAGTAGCTTCTACCTATGTCCGAGAGTTATATGCACTAACTGAGGTTGTCAAGAGGTGGAGACATTACCTCCTAGGTTCTCATTTTGTGATAAGGACAGATCATCAAAGCTTGAGACAATTGCCCACCCAAACAATTCAGACTCCTGAACAACAAAAGTACATGTCTAAGCTTCTTGGTTATAGTTTCAGCATTGAGTATAAAACAGGACTTTCCAATGTGGTGGCAGACTCTTTATCAAGACAACATGATGACATGGTGCAAGGTACGGTTCTAGCTTTGGTATCTGAACCAAAATTTGATTTAATTAATCAAATTAAGTCCGAAAATTTGTCAGACCAAGACCTATTGACTATACATCAGTCATTGGTTAATGGTACAAACAAGGACCCCTTCATCACATGTAAAGATGACATTCTGTTTCACAAGGACAGATTCATGTTGGGCACACAATCCCAACTTAAGGCCATTCTGATTACTGAAGCCCATTGCACACCATTGGGAGGCCATGCAGGTGTCTTGAGGACTTTCCTTTGACTCTCAGCTTCCTTCTTTTGGAAGAACATGCGCAAGGAAGTCCAGGATTTCATCACTTTATGCACCATTTGTCAACAGGTGAAGACTTCTACCCAAGCTCCATTGGGATTGTTAAATCCATTGCCCATTCCCGAAGCTGTCTTTGATGATTTAACTTTGGATTTTATTACGACCTTACCAAAGTCACAAGGATTTACCACCATGTTAGTTGTGGTTGATAGACTCTCGAAATATGGACATTTTGGTCCATTACCTACTTCTTACACTGCTGCAACAGTGGCTCATCTGTTTTGTAACATGATTGTGAAACTTCATGGATTTCCTAGATCCGTAGTTTCTGATCGTGATCCAGTATTTTTGAGCAATTTTTGGAGGAAATTATTTCAGTTGAGTGGTACAAAACTCCACGCAACCTCAGCTTATCATCCTCAATCAGACGGCCAAACTGAGGTGACCAACAGATATATTGAACAGTACCTTAGAGCTTTTTGTTCAGAACAGAATCATGTTTGGTCTTCCTATCTTTGCTGGGAAGAGTTGCATTATAATACCTCTTTTCACTCTTCCATCAATACTTCACCATTTCAGGCTTTGTATGGGAGAGCACCAGTGATGTTCCCTATGTATCCAAGAGGCTTGATCAAAATAGAGGCTTTGGACTCTTTACTTCAGAAGAGAGATGAAGTCTTAGCAAGTCTCAAGCTCAACTTGCAACGTGCTCAACATCGCATGAAGCTTCAAGCAGATAGGCACCGTAGAGATCACACTTTTCAAGTAGGTGATCTGGTTCTAGTGCGTCTTCAACCCTATAGACAATTATCAGTCGCAAGGAGAGCAAACCACAAGCTTGCTAAGAGATATTTTGGCCCCTTTCCAATTCAGAAAGTCATTGGCTCTGTTGCTTATCAGCTGAAGTTACCTGAAGGTAGTCAAATCCATCCTACCTTCCACATTTCAAGCTTGAAACCTTTTCATGGTTCATCAACTCTTAGTGCCTCACCTCTGCCTTTTGAGAGCGTGGAGAACAAACCTGTCCAAGTTCCCATTGCAGTATTGAATTCTCGAACAGTACCCATCAGAGGCAGAAATCAGCAGCAAGTCTTGGTCCAGTGGTCTCAAACAGTTCCTGAAGATGCATCATGGGAATCCGTGAGAGAGCTTCAAAAAGTTTACCCTTCCCTACACCTTGAGGACAAGGTTACTTTTGAAGATGGGGCTGTTGTTACATGTGAAGATAGCAGGCCTATAAGGAAGAGAAAGGAACCTATATGGACAAAAGACTATGTTGTATAGAGTTAGTGAAAGGTCCATTTTAATAGTTGATTCTATTGTATACTGTTAGTTAGCATAACCTGATGTATAGTGTTTCATTCAAGTGGGTATTGACCACTATATAATACAATGACTGTACACACAATGGCCATCATGAATAAAGAATTGTTTTCTGTTTCCTGTTAATTCTCTCTCTCGGGTCAGATACAATTTCGCGTATTGTATCAAAGTCTCTCTTACTTCTCTATATATCTTTCGTTGTCCAAATCTTAAGAAACTAGACTACAAGGGTCTCTGCCACCTATCCTCTCTTACAAAATTGTGTCTTGGTTACTGCTCCAGACTCCAATGCTTACCAGAGGAGGGTTTGCCCAAATCCATTTCAAGTCTATATATTCAGGGCAATTGTGGGTCACTCAATCAGCGTTGCCAGAAACCCAATGGCAAAGATTGGGGGAAGATTTCTCACATTGAATGCATAAGGATTGGTGGTAACATAATCACATAATCCATTTCTGAAAGAGTCGTGGACAGATTCTCATATTGTCTAACTTTTGATCAGGTACCTACTCTCAGCACGTAAATTTGTTTTTGAACTTCAAATCCAATATTCTTTGAGCTTTCGAAATACTAGGCTATATATTCATCCCTATACTACAATTTTGTTTATTGGAAATATTTCACTCTCTAGTCAGCGAACAAAAGAATTTACACCTAAATTTTTTAATATTTGTTGAACAAGGATGGCTCAACGTACATAAATCAAATGACTATGAATAATACTCTATCAAGTTCCATATATGCTATTGATATATCTCAACTCAACCATAGACAGATTTAGACTAGAATAATATTTACTTTATCTTGTATCTGCATCTAGTCACACATCAATATTTTTTTTATATTTGGTTTTATATCCAACAATTTCTGTTATCCTTATGCCACTGTTCTAGTTGAATTCCAACCAAATATGTTTCTCATATTTGGTATTCATGTTTGGTGAGGATTAGGACGCCAGTAAAATGGTGAAGGTGGTGACGGGCTCTCTTCAAACAGACAAATCCTTTGTGGTTCTATAGGTCTGAGCTGTTTCGTGGGTAAGATATATCACAGTTGAATTATAACCCTTTACATGGAATTAATTGTGCCCTTGGTAACTTGTTTCAAGTATATTGTTGAACAGTTTGAAGAGTTGATTTCTTAAACAATATTTGTTGTTTGATTTCTCTCATGTTAAAAAGGTTTAATGTAGTTAAAAAATGACTTAACCTAGAATTTCACTTGCAAGTGTCCGGCTGCATTCTGAGCAAGATGGAATTTAATTTGTTGCATCATTGTGAGTTTGAACTGTGCTGTTTCATTGTTGATACATACCCCATTTGATTTTCACAATACAGGTTGGAAGGTCATTCGTGTGAAACTTTGGGATGCTAGAACAGGGTGAGAGCTTTGCTCATTGTGAGTATAAAAATAGGTGTTATTGTCTAATGTTTCATTTCCTGTTTCTGTTTATAGATTAATACTTGTGTCATGCAGCCACGGGCACAAAAATATTGTGTTGTGAGATCTTCAACATAGAAAGAAATTGTCCGTTTACATGGCGTTCCAAAGTCGATTGTTTCGGACAGAGACCATGTGTTTATGAGCATGTTTTGGAAAGTGTTATTCCGGATGTCAGGAACTAAGCTACGTTTTAGTAGTTCTTATCATCCACAAACGGACGGACAATCCGAGGTGGTGAATAGAACGGTTGAGACGTATCTGCGGTGTTTTATTAATGGTCATCCTCGTGACTGGGCTAAGTGGGTTCCTTGGGCAGAATTCTGGTTCAACACCTCTTATAATAGATCAATTGGCATGACACTATTTAAGGCTGTGTACGGGTAGGATCCCCCATCCTTGTTTTGTTTTGAAAAAGGAGGAACTCAAGTAGATGCATTGGACCAATGGCTGGCTGCTAGGGATGCAGTGGTGACTAATTTAAGACAAAATCTGAATAGGGCTCAGCAATGTATGAAATTCCAAGCCGATCAGAAAAGAAGAGATGTTCAGTTTGCCATTGGTGACAGTGTGTTCTTAAAGATTCAACCTTATAAGATGCGTTCGTTAGCTAAAAGGATGAACCAAAAATTAAGTCCACTTTTTTATGGGCCTTTTAAGGTAATAGCACGTGTGGGAGCAGTGGCTTATCGTTTAGAGCTACCTTCATATTCAAAGGTACACCCTGTATTTTATATTTCTCAACTTAAACTTGCTGTTCAGTTGGTGTTGCCTATATTGCCATTACCAAGTTGTTTGAATGATACATTGGAGCTGGATGTTCAACCTATGGCAATTCGGGATTCTAGAAGGTTGTTGAATGGGAAAACAGAAGTGTTGGTGCAATGGGAGACTCTCCCTGACTGTGACTGCACATGGGAGGACTTGGAGATACTCAAGCAACAATTTCCTTCTTTTCACCTCGAGGACAAGGTGATTTTTCCAGGGGGGGAGTATTGATGGAGCCCTAAGGCCTTTTAACAAATATTATACACGCAGGAGAACAAAGGCCCAAAGAAAAAGATAAACTCAACAGGCCCAAGTTGGTGACAAGAGCCCAAGAGAAGGAGGAAGCAATAAGGCAGAGCAAGGAAGCAACAAACACCTGCAATTGCAATCAGTTATAAACAAGGCCACGTGGAGCGCTGTGAATGGAGAGGGTCACGTGGGAGAGGGAGCTGTGGTGAATGGGAATAATATAGACGGTTAGAGGAAAGAAGGAGGTCATTCTGGATGTTGAGAGTAGTGGTAGCACCTGGACTTGGTGGTTCAGAGTGGTGAGTAAGGGTAGAAGGTTATGTAATCGGATGAGTATGAGTGAGATATGCTTGGAGTCTGTATTTGCTATTTGTTAATTGGTCCGTGTTCTAGCACTACATAAGGATGTCCATGTTCTGGTATATCTCGGGACCAGATGCAGAACTGTTGAAGATGGAAAGAAGATATTGTTATGGGATAAAGGTTTGGAGGATGTAATGGTAGTGCAAGAAGGAAGGGGTCCAAAAGGGTGTAAGATAATCATGGGTTGTGTAAGAATAACCTCTATTAAACCTTATCAGTTTAAAGGTAAGGCTAGCTTTGAACCTCTATTAACCTGCATCACAATGTTACAATAAATGAATATACAACACAAACAAGCAAGAACTCCCAATTTGCGTAGTTCAGCATAATCATCAATAAATTCTCAATTTAAACAGTTCAAAGGAGGTGATTAATGCTTGGCCCATTGGATATAAACCAACCAAAATCATCAAAATTTCAACTTTGTATTAGATGAACAAGCAACATAAAAGTAACAACCAACAAAATTGTGAAATTTTAGATAAAAGAAGCAACAGAGACAATGTAGCAGAATCTCTCGTAAAATCATGTTATTATAATCCTAAATACAACCTCATCTTAGAGAACGCAAGCCCCAAAAATTAACAAATAACATAATATGCCATGTTGATGAAACAGAAAGAGAAAGAGAGAAAAAGGGTCGTGAAAAATACAAGCTTTTTGAAAAAAGGGTCATTGTGAGCAAAAGAGTGAAAGATAAGGGAAGGGAAAAGGAGAATGAAAGCACCATTGGTCTCAACAAAGAGCACGAAGGCATGGCAAAAGTTTGGTACTCACCGAGGAAGAGGATGGTAGTTGTGTACACTGAGTTGGTGATGAACTGAAGGAGGAAGAGAAGGAGGCGTCTATGCGTGGCTCAGGCATGGAAATTTTGAAAAGAGATAGCATACTATTAAGTGGCATGGAAATTAATCACCATTGATTATAATTTTATTAAATTTATTAAAAATTAATAATTAATTAATGAGTATAATTTAATAATTTTCAATAAATTATAAATTATTATTATTAGATTGACGAAAAATCAATAGTATTAAATTGATTGTAAGAGTAGTAAACTCTTATGGTGGTAAATATATCATTTTCCTACTAGTAATTAATAAATTAAAAGAAATTAATATATTAATTATAAGGATGGTTATATTGATAAAAAAAAATTACAAACTATGGTATATCTTACCGATAAGACTCCACTAAAAAGTATTAGGGGTGTTCATCAACCGATCCAAACCGATTCAAACCGCGGTGACCGAACCAAAAAACCGAAAACTGAATAAACCGAAAATCGAAAAAAAACTGCAAATTTTAATTGGATTGGATCGTTTTTTGGATTGGCAGATGAAAATCGATCCAATATATTAATTTTCCTCTACCTACTTGGTCTTTCCCTAATCATAACCCAAAAATTTTTAAACTCAAAACTCATTAACCCATAAACTAAACTCAAGAAAAAACCTAGTCACATCTCATTATGTAGAGCTTCATATCTCATTGTCCAAAAAAAAAATTATATTATCGTTTAGTAATGTTTTTTGTCTTTAAAAAAAATTACAAAGCTAATATATACAAAAGATGTTATTTGCACAATAATCATAAAACAAATTATAAGATTTTCAAAAAACTGAAAACCGATCCAATCCAAACCGAAAAAAATTGAATTGGATCGGATCGGATTTGAAACAAAATCTAAACCGAATGGATGATTACATGATCAAACCGAAGGGATTGGATCGGATGATTTTTGCTTCCAAAACCGATCCAATCCAGACTGCGAACACCCCTAAAAAGTATCTTGCCCATAAGACATAGTGTGGTTTGTAAATAAAAATTGTAAATATAACATTTTCCATTAATTATTATTGTTATTATTATTAAATATCAAATTATTTTATTTTTGCATAGAAAAAGTACAAGAAGATAAAAAATTAATAAGTGTAAACCATAATAAAATTTATTTATCCTTATTCAACTATCACTTAAAGTACAAACTCTACTTATTCGTAATAACAAGTTCGTAGAGTTTATGCCTTTTTTTATCATCGAAGAGTTTATACTTTAAGTGGTAGTGGCTGAATCAGAAATTATTCGTAGGTTACAAGTGGTGGTGGGTGAATCAAAAATTATTTTATAGAGTTTGTACTTTAAGTGGTGGTGGCTGAATCACAAAAAAAGTTTCTTCATAATTTCACTATAATTAATTAATATTTTTGTTGTGCTTAATGCTATAATTATTGTTAATACATTGGGTGTACACAGGATGTTACACAAATCATAGTGCTTCAAGTTTTATAACCATAATTTGAGAGTGTGAACCTATTAATATACCATTCTTGTATTGAAATTGAATTATCTCTCTCTCTCTCTCTCTATATATATATATATATATATATATATATATATATATATATATATATATATATATAGAAAACCCATTTATTGGAAAGTCAGCTGATGTGTCACTCTCTGCTTAATTCTGAAATTTGTGTTCACACTACATGGCATCTCAAAACTTTCCTTCTTTGGTAAATTGGAAAAAAATATTTCTTTTAAAAATCCAAATTCTTTTTAAAATCGAAAAAAAAATTCATTTGTGGTGGCAGACAAGTTATTGAATGTCCCAATGCTGTCCACCTTGGAATTACTCAGCCCTTTTAATTGCTTTCTACCTTGGAATTGAATTGCTCAACTGATTTAAAATTCGAATTTTGAAATGATTTCAAATTTTGAATTTAAAATATGGACGGTGGGAAGAGATTTGGAAAGTTTTGGGTGGCACTCAGCTAATTTAATCTCTGACTGCTTTTCTTTTGTTGCTTGCGTTTATAAAAAGGAACGTTGTGCATTGTTATTTCGTTCTTCTGTCCAGTCTACAATTTTTGCTAATTGTTTCTTTGAGAAGAATAGCTTCTTTCTTTTCTTCTTTTTGTCTTCCAAAACGAAATGTTTTAAAAAATTTCGTCTCTGTTGTGATTTTAAATTTGTGTCTGTTGTTATGATTTTCGTTTTCGTTGTTTGAATTTTGGCTTTCACTTTTTTGTAGGGTGAAAGGATCCATGCTATTGTCAAATGATCTTTGCAGGTCCGAAAAAAATCTGTGACGGAAAGGTGTATTTTATAGGTCCAGACTCTACAATGTAATGGATGCACTGTTATGAATGACTGATATAATGTATTAAGCTCTAAAATGCTTCTACATCTCTCTTCTTTTAATTCATTTATGTTATTGACTGTAATGTGAACTGTACATATTACATAAGAGTTGTTTGATGAGGATCTATTCTCGGTGAATATAACCTTCTGACTGCTTCTTCTTCTTTGGGTGCTGTTATACAGACATATGATGCATCTTCAAATGTAACTGAGAATATAAACTAACAGAAGTGCTCTCGCTCATCTTTTGTATATTTTATCAGGATGTTGGCTTTTGGCTGGAGACTATAAATCTTGGTAATTACCGGAATTTTTTTAAAGAAAATGGTGTTAATGGAGAATACCTAGAAGGAATGTCTATGTTCACGACTGAACAGATCCTTCAATTCATTAGACGTTGCCACATGAAGTGGGGAGACTTTATCACATTGTGCAAGGAATCAAGACGAATTAAAGGTTTCTCTCTCTCCCTTAAGCAGTAAACAGATAATGACATGCCAATAAACTCTCATTTGATTTTATTTTTTTTACTATTTTGTTGTGTGCTCTTCATCCACTGAGATACGGCTTGATCATCGTTGTTGTAACAATCTGTTTCTTGCCATTTGAACAATCTAAGGAAACATGAATATACTGGATGAAAGATTAAACTGGAGGTTTAGTATTGGTGAGATATATCTTGAAATTGATATCATGCGTCTGTTTTCGGTACAGTTGTCACTTCAATACAAGCAACCATTAACAGATTCTCATCATGAGGCATAATTTTCTGACTTTGTTATGCAATATTGCAAAGACAATTTATGAATTATGAATTTGTAAAACAGCGGTATAAGTTTATGTCAATATTTATGAATTATACAATACAACACCTGCATTGCATTGCAAAACTTTGTACCAAATTTTTTTTTAATAGCAAACAATAAAAAATGCATATCAAAATATTCTATCACTATTTTGGATATAAGTTTATGTCAAATCTTGACTCTGAAAAATGTTTTCTTTTAACTAGCGGTAAAAAATTTCCATATTTTTTGAATAATAAATTA